CTCATTCTCTCTGTCTCAAATAAATAAATAAAATCTTTAAAAAATAAATAAAATAAAATAAATAAAATGGGGGGATAAATTGTTTTGAAGATTCAATGGCTTGATGTATGTGCAATGATTAGAACAGTGATGCTTAGAATACGGCAAATGATAGATGAGGAAATTGAGGGTCTGTGAGGCAGAGTGGTCCTAGCTGTGGCTGCTAATTGGTGGCAGGGCAGGGACTAGAACACAGATTTATCCCACTGCTTTAACACTGTTTCAAACCATTGACGGATAGGTGCTCTCTGCCCTTGATCAGGATGTTACTGCTATTCTGTTGTCAAATCACTAGGATGACTTTAGGAACCTTCTCCAGGCCTCAGTCTCCTACTCTGCAAAAATGGAGGAACTGGAGATGTGCCTGAAACTCCTTTTAGGAGAAATCCCAGCAGAAGACACCCTAGGCAGGCGTGCAGGGCAGCCAGGCAGGCCCCACGGAGCAGCATCTTCAAATCAGTGCCAAGCACAGAAGCTTTCGATTCCCCACAGGAGCATCTGCCCTGCTCCTGACAGAGAACCCTGAGCCACCCTCAGGCCTCCGGGAGATAGTCCTCACAGCTAGGCCCTCAGCCTGACTCCCCCAGCACCCCTCAGGCTGCCTGACACGCATGAGCCCGCAGCACCGCACCCCTAATGGTGGCCTCCTGGATCCCTCACGGGCTGTGTGAGGGGAATGGCTCCCCACACAGCGTTGGCAGTTCCTGCTGCGGGAGACCAGCCTCACTGGGCATAACTGTAGCTTGCCTTTGCTTCTCCCAGTCTGTGCAACAGACAGGGCCTTTAGCCCGACGGGACTGCAAAGATGAGGGAGACCAGGGGCCGCTGGCCCATCCCTCAGGCAGGCATCCTGCTGGGTCCTTGGCAGTGTGAACGGGGTTGCGCAGAGCAGCCCAAAAAGCCACAGATGGACCAGAACAGTCCGGCCTTCTGAACATCGCTGGTCCAAACTGCTGCTGCTGCTGGTGGTGGTTTGTTTTTTTTCCCTCTCAGACTTCCATTTCAATTAATATAGAAGGCTGGTTTATATTGTCTCCGTTTGAACTCTAAAACCAAAAACCATTTTCGTTGTAGCCAAACCCAGTATCTTCAGAGTTTGAGCTCTTTGAAATTCTAAACACATTTTTAAACCACCAAGAAGGTGGGCAAAGGAGACCGCGGTCGGGGGGTTGGGGGGTGGCAAAGCAGGGAGGTCTCCACTATGAGAGTCTCCCCAAAATAAAGAGGTTCGACCTAAGTTAAAAGACAGGCTGCCCTGAGCCCAGGAGGGGCTGCTCTCCTCATGGGCGTCTTGCTGAAGGATACGCGTGAGAAGCAGTGCAATGCTCACAAACCAGCCAGAAATTCCTCAAGTCATCCCACACGTGTCTGGTCAAGGAGCACTTGGCCGTGCCTTTCATTATCCACCAACACTGAGGTTCTTCTTTAGAAGCATTTGGCTTCAGTCTCTTCACCTGTACTTGTCCCCTCAACCCTCAGGGCCGCAGGAATACATGTGAACGTGCAAGAGAGAGAGAATACGGTGGGTATTCATCAGGGTCCTCTGAAGAAACAGAATAGGATGTGTATGTAGAGAGGGGAAGATTTATTTTGAGGAACCGGCTCAGGTAATTACAGAGGCAAGACCAGAATCTGCAGGCTGGGCGGGCAGGCTGGACCCCTAGGGAGCCCATGTTGCCGCTCAAGTCCCCAGGCCATCTGCTGCAGGACCCCCTCTTGCTCCCACTCAGGGGAAGTCAGTCTTTTGTGCTATTCAGGCCTCCAGCCGATTGGAAGAGGCCCACTCCCAGTACGCCCGGCAACCTGCTTTACTCAACATCCACCAATTTAAGCGTTAATCTCATCCAAAAAACATCCTCACAGAATCATTATTTGACTAAACATCCAGGCACCACGTCCCGGCCAGGTTGGCAGGTAAAAGTAAGCCTCACAGGGTGCAAGTGGGAAGAAAAAGGAGATTAAACCCCCGCTGAGGTCAGATCCGAAAAGCAGGGCATGGCAGAGAGCTGAGACCCTGGGCAAAGCCACCTTCCTGCCCTCGCACCCCTTCCCTGAGCAGGACTTACCAGACAACGAGGTGCTCGAACACCTGTACACCAGCAGACCCCCTTGTCCCGCTCCCTCCCAGGCATCTGTCTATGGTTTATTCTGGAACAGTTTACTGAGTGCTCACTATGTGCCAGGCACTGTGGCTCCAAGTGTAATCACGGCTCAGGTCTTCTGTATCCCTAAAAATAGTTAAAATGGTAATCTTTATGTTGTCCATTTTATCATAATTAAAAAAAAAAAAAAAAAGACGGAGTCCTTGCCATCAAGGGTCTCAAAGTCCAGAGAGAGAGGACAGACAGAAAGCACAGTTTCAGCGTAGGCATTACCCATGGTGAGAGAAAGCATCCAGAGAACCCAGACCCACATCGGTACAGAAACTGCCCCTCCCTCATCTGCTCACCCTGTCCTTTCCCTCCACTTTGGGCAGAGCTGCTCTGGACATAATTATCTCCTGGCCACCACCACCAGTCGGGCTCCAAGCAGATCCTTCTTACTACCTAAATATGAAAAGCTCACTTCTCCAGTCCTGCAGCTTCGAGGTAGCACTCCACAGACTAATAACTTGGTACCAATTTTTACTGTCCCAATTTTTCTTTATGGAAGAAGCAATATTATAATAACTTTTTAAAACTCACTATAGGGGCGCCTGGGTGGCTCAGTCGTTAAGCGGCTGCCTTCGGCTCAGGTCATGATCCCAGGGTCCTGGGATCGAGCCCCGCATCGGGCTCCCTG